ACGACTATTGCGTCATGGACACGGTCAAGATTACCTAACCAATAATTTTTCACCTTGTCTAAGGCATGCTGTTCGCTACCAGCAAGCTTTGTCCGCACAAATTCTATGTGTCTATAAAAGATTTCTGTTCACTAGAGGATTTCACAATAATAAGTAACTGATTCCCTATTTCAGCATTCTTGTGAGATCATACTCTTGTCCTCACGTAGGATATAGAGATGCAATCACGAGAGTTGGGTGAATTTGCTAAAGTCCTTGATCTAAATCATAATGTTTTTATGATTGATATGACACTGTATTAGAAAGATGATCCAAAATCATTAAAGCAAATTTGTCTTGTCAATGTTGAGATAGAACCAGATTCATGCTGGACACAATTATTTGCGGAAATCAAGTAAATCTGCTAAAAGCTTTCGCTCTCTGCTGGTAAGCATTTACTTCTGACATTCTAGTTGGGTTTAACGATTCAGACTATGATTGGTATTTTATTATGAAGAGAGCATATGAGTAGTATTCTATTAAAATTGAGATACAGATCATATGATTTACTATGTCTCATAATCCACTTTTAATAGATCAGCTTCCATATTATCTCAATATATTTGAATAGATGTGGGAGCGAATGACAGGAAAGTTCAAAACAAAGCAAGAAATCCTAAAGTGGAAATACCGTGGAAAAATAGGAGTGTAATCTGAAAATAATTTTAAGATAAAAGGAAAGAAAAAGGAGACAGATAAAGAGAGAACTATATAGGAATCGGGTGAGAAGGTCAAGGAAAAGAAAAATTATATGAGAGCAATTAAGATCAAAATTACTGCGGAAAAGGATTTCTTTTCAGTTTTCTTAAACTGTCAGATTGCGTACCAATTGACATTCAAGTGTGTCTCAAAAAACATTACTCCCATTCTGAAGTCAAAAAGGAAGGGTTGCTTAAATTCTTCTTAAAAAAGTGTGACCTTGACACTAAAGCTGACATGCCATATGATGAAATGTGAAGAATCTATTCAGAGACAAAAAAAGACCCTTCTTCTTTAACTGCAAGAAAAATGCGAGAAGTAGCTAATTATTGTATAATAGATGCATTACATTGCTAGAAGCTTTTGGTAAAGCTAAGACAAATAAATGATTACAGAGAAGTCGCTTTCATAGCTCATGTATCTTTGTTCAACTCACACTATTGTGCAAATGGAATGAAGATATGAAACCTTCTAAGCATTTATGCTTTAAACGTAATATAGTATTTAGCTCAAGAGTATGCGAAAATATAGAAAAGGAAAATATTCTGACGCATATATTTTTTCACCTGAAAAGGGAATTGAAACAAGAAGACCTGTAAAAGAATTAGACTTTGCCTCATTATATTCCAGTCTCATCATGCCTTACAATTTCTCTAGATAAAATAATACTAACACGTGAAGCAGCTGATATTGCAGAAAAAAATGAAAACATTTTACATAAGATTGAGTTTCTATTCAATAACCGCACCGTTCAAGCTTGAAGTGTAAGACATGATAATTAATTCAAAACAAAGGGCTTATTTCCTGTTGTATTAGAGGATTTATTCAATATGAGAGTAGAGTTTAAAGCATATCTTACCCTACTAGGAAAGAAAAAGCTGCAACTTGGAAAGATAATTAGTTCTGCTAAAAAAAGAGGCAAAAGGGTTCTAGAAAGCTTAAATTCAGAATATTTATCTGTATATTTTGATTACGATTATTCAGATTCAAAATAAAAAGCTTTGAAGATATATTTAAACACTTTTTATGAGGAAGCAGGCAACTTAAAATCTTCAATATTTCTTTGTGAATTAGCTGAAGGAACTATTTCATCAGGAAAATATAACCTTAATTTTGTTGCAGAATTCATAACAAAGAAAGGGTTTGGAATAAAATATGGTGATACCAATTCTTTATATCTCACCTGTCCAGATAAGTATTATGAAAAATGCGATGAAGACTTCTCTTGAAAAGATCTTTCTAAAGAAGCGTATTGGACCGAAATAGTCAAAATTATTATGATTGTAATGAAAAGCTTACGTGATCAAGTAAATGCTTATCTTGGGATAAAAATAGCACATCTTATCTTAAGATGGTATATGAAGAGGTATTATTTCACATTTACTTCGCTAATAAGAAAAAATATTTTGGTATATCACATGAAGAGGTGGTTAATTTTAGGCCAGATAATCTTTTTATGAGAGATATTGATACTATGAAGCAAGGGAATTCTAAGCTCTTCAGGTTTATCGGAGAAAAGATTATATAGGAGGCAATAAGTATTAATAACACATATTCATTTTGTAAAATTATTGAAGATGCTTTCTGGGATGCTAGATTTAAGTAATAGGATTTTAATCAGTTTATTGCAATATCTAAATGAAAGGTTAAAAGAGACCTTGCATGCAATAAAATCTTTATGGAGCGGATGAGAGAAAGAATAGCAAGCGGAAAAAAAAATATAAAGATCCCTGATTCTAGGGAACGCTTTAGCTATGTCGTAATGAATGACGACTCTCGTTATAAAAAAGATGGTTCTAAATCGACAAGAAAGGGTGATTATATAAAGTTTCCAGAAATTGCAAAAGAGTTTAATATGAAGATAGATATCAGTCACTATTTAGAATAAACAGTAGAAATGTGTGCACATTTTATCAATAAGAATGATATGTTCTTAGAGCTCCGAACAGGTCGGATCGGGTTGAGTAATTGACTTGACCTGACCTGATAAGGTCAGGTCAAGTCAGACATAAAAATGACCTGAATTAAATATACATTGGATCTGTCCTGACCTGACCTGTCTTGTTCTGTCTAAAAAGGAAACTAAATAATTATTAATTTTATTTAATATTTTTTTAAAAAAATATAAAAAAATATTGATACATTTTTACATTTG